TACAAATGGCTGGAGATGACGTGGGTTTGCCAGAAGACCTTCAGAAGATGGTGGCAGAAGATCAAGTGGAGGAAGAGGACAAGGACTCTATCCTGGGACAGCTGCAGAACATCCAGAATATGGACATGGATGCGATCAAGGAAAAAGCGCAAGCCACCTTCACTGAAATCAAACAGGCAGCAGAGCAGAAATGTTCTGTGATGTAGAAGAGCCACCAAGGTCCAAGGGTTATGACTTCAGCCTTGTCTCAGAGGGGCTGGGCTGCAGAGTGAGGGCAGGCTGAGGAATGCACTTAGCTCTATAGCATTAAATGTAAATGCAGAAAAGAGAGAGAGAGACTTAAAACCCCAAGGGGGGGGGGGGGGGATGACATGCTGTGACTGCTCAGTGTGAAGTTAGAACTGAGCCTCACTTTTTAACAGAGCATTTTTCCCCATTAAAAAAAAAAAAGTAGCTTCAAGAAAGCTGACAGTGGGGAAAAAATGTGCCTTCCTCCATGTTTTCAAGGTGATCAGAATGCTGTTAAATGTGTATTGAGAAAAAACGTGCTTCTGGTGCACCAACATACAGGCAGCCACTCATTTAATAGTGCTTGCAGCAAGAAATCTGTCTCTTTCTAATAAAACCATGGACATTTCAAGCATTTTGACACAAACCCAGTATTGCGATGCGGGCATTTCTGCAGAAGCTTCTTTAAAACCTGGGTTTGACCATCTCTGTTCTCAATACAGCAAAAGGCTAAAGTGAAGCATTTAACTCTACAGCTTGGGACAAAAATGGCCAAGGCCTGGTAGCTATCCACGAAGCATGGTCAGGCAGCAACACAGACTTCTCCAGGCTGCTTTAATGTCTCTTGGCTTCAAATGCTGGTCAAACACCAAGAGCCAGCAGAGGCCCCCAGCTTGGCTGCTCTGTGCCAAATTCTGGGGCTTGGGTACCAGCAAATCCCTTGTAGAGGCTACAGTGAAAATGAGCTCACAGGAGCATCAGTCAGGAGCATCTGTGCTGTGTGCTTGCACAGATGTAGTCACCATGCATGACAGCCCACCCCAGAGCTGTACAGCCCATGCACATGGATGCTGTACACAACTCCTGAGCCTAGTAAATGAAGGACTTTGTATGCTCTCCCAAGAGCCAGCCTGTGAATGAAGTTTGCAAATGAGCACATGTAGCACCTTCCTACAGGTTTGTAAGTCTCTTTCTCTCTTCCTCCACCCAATCAAGTAAAAGTGTTCATTTTAAATGAATTAATGCACTAAGTATGGTTTGGTTTGTCTCCTTTCTTTCCCTCTTTTCCTGCCTTCCTGCCACGTTTTTCTTTCTTTTTACCCTTCTCTTCTGGAGATGTTGGTCCTGTCCTCCATGGGACAGCGATTTGTAGGGGGGTTCTTGGGTGCAAGAGATCATCTTGGAAAAGCTCTTTCAGCAATCACTGTTTGAATATAAGCTACATAGGCTTGTCTGAAAACCTGTTATCAAGTATTTTCCCCAGTGCAGTCCTATGAAATGTGCCTTGTCTTCTTGCTCAATTCTTTCTTACTTAAGAAACACAGAAGTTGCCAAGTTTTCCTTCCTCACTTTTTCCAGAGGATGCCCTGGTCCATTTAGAGAGGAATGCCAGTGGCTCTCACATTGCAACAGGTCATTTCTTCAGTGGAGGAGTCCTATGTTCAGCATGCTCATCAAGCATCAGGGCTAGCAAATGCTAACTCAGTTTCAAACACTGCCTAAACCCACCAAGGCTTCTGATGCGCTTTCTGTCTTCCCTCTGTGTTTGTATAAATCTGGTAGGTGTCTCCATGCTGTTCTGGTGCTTCACAGACTGAATTATCTCACCCACAAAACACAAGCCTGAGGCTTTCGATCTTTGAATTAAAATGTGCCTGGGACATCCTGGAAAGCTTCCTGGGAGCACCTGAAGGTTTGAAGGAGCTGATGACATTTGTCAGCACATTTGGGACCACCATGTTCACGGTTTCAGAGGTCAGAGAAGAAAGTACAACCAAAATCACCCAACAAGCAATGAATGAGGTTCCGAGGGCCTGCTGGGGCTGGCAGAAGTGAGTGGAGCTGGGGGGCAGCTGCAGGATGGGGCCCCCCATGCATAGTGAGGGCTGCTCTCAGCCCTGGCTGCACTGACCTGCTGCTGGGAGGGCAGGGGCAAATGCATGTGTACATACGTGCGTGCACCTGTGTGCATGCATGCAGGTGTACATGTCTGTGTGTGCGTGTGTGTGTGTGTGCGTGTGTGTGTGTGTGCGCTGCATGGAAAAGGAGCAGATTAAAGTGTTAGGTCACATGGGAGCTACTGCTGGACGGACCCTACCTGGGATTTGGGTTCTTATAGTTAATAGGATCGCTGGAGCTCAAGGCCATCATCCCATCAGGATAAATGTCTCTAGTGCCCACTTTTAAGCAATCCGAATTCAATTAGGCTAATTGGAAAACAAGTAAAGAAGGATTGCATTAATATAGCCTTATAGCATGAACCTGCACTCCCTCTCTCCGGAGGGATGGCTGAGTGTGGTGAGCCCAGCCCAGCTGCTCCCCAGCCAGCAAGGGCTGCCCTGCTCCCCGAGCAGCCATGGCCCACCCTGTACCCACAGCCAGGATGTGGGGCAGCAGAGCCCATAGCGGCTCAGGCTCTGTGCTGCACTCCCCGTGAGAGTCCAGCCTGCCACAGAGCACCTTGGAAGCGGTGCAGAAAACACAACCAGCTCCCCCAGGGCAGGCACAAATCGCACCAGAGCAAGCAGGAGGCGACTGCCAAGGTGTGAGGGCTGCAGTGATGGGAGGACGCAGCAGCTTTCTCACACCCTCTGCTTTGAGAAGGTTCTTACGCTGCACAAGGAGGAGCTTCTGGGGAGAAAAAAGGCAAAGCCAGTTCTTTCAGTTGTTAGCAATCTGGTAGCGACACAGTATGCAAAGTGCAGCGGGTGCAGGTTCCCTGGCATGACGTATGTCCCAGGTGACTCTGGCAGCAGAGGGTTTAGCTGACAGCCCACACATTAGACCCACAGGGGGATATTCAGTTACCTTTCTTTGCCATCCTAACATCCCTGTGTCAGTCTATGATTACCAGAGGAGCTGTTAGACTTCGTCCCCCCAGAGCAGTGCAGTGCCACCACACTGTGCCTGAAGCAAAGCAAGAGGGAAAGGATGGAGCTGGAGCTGGAGGGGTTGGGGCTGATCCCTGCTCTGCTGCGGGGGGGGGGGGGTGTGTCCAGAGTTTCACAGGCTGTGATGAAGGGAAGTTGCTTCCTCTCTCGACAGCTCCACTGCCTTCACGAAGGGTGCTCCAGTGACAAATGCAGTTCCATACAGCGAGTACAACTGTAATAAGGAGCACCCTCCTCTCTTAGGGAGGAAGCTCTCTCCTGTACCATGTGGGACGTGTGCCCTGCTTGGGGGGGGGGAAGGTTTTTTGCTCTGCTTTTGCATTATAGGCAAAACCAATGTGTCTTGTCCCTGTATTTGACAATTTTGACACGTGACCTAAAAGCAGCATCTGTACCAGGCCACAACAAGTAAAGCCCATTCCCCAGTTTGCCCAGGGCTTCTGGAGGGCCAGGCACATTTTGTGCTGGTTGCGGTGCCATGAACCCCCCGCGCCAAATTAGCAGAAATTAGGGACATTGCACAGTTCATTCATCTTCACTAATAGAGTTCTTGGGAAACACACATGTAGATTAAAGGAGCACAATGGCCCCTGGCTGATTGCTTTGAGTACCCTCCAATGCCCCTACAATGGTATTGACTTGCTTTTCATATTGTTCACAAAAGCCACACTAACCTTTTCTTGTCTCTTCTGTTGGCCTCTCCCCTCTTTGCCAGTGGATGGCTGAGTTCTTTCGGCCCCAGCCCCCCAGAGCAGTGAGTAAGGCAAAGCTCACCTGGAGCCAGGAAAAGCTGAGCACTTCCACAAGGAATTAACTTTGGAACACCGGACCATAAACCTCCAAAAGGTGGGCACCGGCAGAGGCAAGCACTCACAACCTTTGGTTTGAAGTGATTCCTCTGGGAAGAAACTACACAGAATGCATCCTGCTGGGGCAGGGAGGGAAAATGCAGATTTGTTGAGAGAGGTCACACTTTTTATTAGGCCAGCTCCTATGTCTGGAAGCAGCAGCGTCCATTCACATACACTCTCCTCAGGCTTGAAACAGAAGAGTCTTCAAAGCTGAGTGCAGGCTGAAAACCACTCTGGATGTTACTGTGTTTGTCATTTCACTTGGTGCCGCAGAGGGATTCGCAAGTGCTACCATGAAAAAGTGGTAAACTGAAGAGAAAAGTGGGATAAATGCTGCTCCAGGAAGGAGGACCTTGGAGGCAGGAGACATGAGGCCATTGCCTGGTTAAGTACTGTGCCAAGTCCAAGTGCTCCATCTGGCCAAGCACAAAGGGAGGGTTGGGACTTGACTCTCTGCCTTACCTCCAAAAGCATTCTGTGGTCTCCCATGAAGCCATGCCCTGCCCTCCAGCCTCCCACCCTACTCCTGTCCTGGAGGACAAGAGCACAGAGGCAGCTCTCTCCACAGGGTCTGTCCCATACCAGTGTCTTGGAAAGTGTCCTCAGAAGGCCAGCGCCTTCCCCACACCTGTGAAGGCTGAGCCCACCTCCTCCTGCAGAATCCATCCTCCCCCTCCGCAAAAGAAAGCCAGCACGCACCTTCACAAGGTCTTGAAGGCAGCCCGGTGCAGGGCAGAGCCCAGCAAGGAACCAGAGCATCAGGTTTTACCCTCAGGGCGTTTTACCCTCGCATTTGACACAAGATAGTGCCACGGCATCCTCCTGCATGTCATCTCCTGAGAGGCTGCCTATGAAACCGATGCACTTAGAAAAAGCCAGGGACGGATCTAGGCTGGAGCTAAGTGGGAGAAATTCCGAGCGGCTCCCAGAGCCCGCAGAGCAGCGCAGGGCTGAGCCCCACCGAGAGCTGGCCCCGGCCTCCCGCTCTCCCGTCCCTCCCCAACCCCTCCGTGGACCAGGAGCCGCTTTCCCGGCTCCGTTCGCCGCCCTCCCGACAAGCGGCTCCCGCCCCGTCCCGCGCGGCTCCCCGGGGCCCGGCAGCCGCCGGTCCCACGGCGGTTTCCGACGGCAGCGCGGCCCCGGTGCTCCGGCTGCGGGTCTCGGCGGGGAGCCCGGCCGGGAGCAGTCCCCGGCAGCAGCCGTGGGCTGGGCCCGCCCCGCCTCGAGGGCCCTGGATGGCATCGCCCGGCGCCGTCTGGGGCCGGGACCAGGGTCGGCGGGGCGGGGCGGGGGGGCCGCGGGCCGTGCCGGCGGGGCGCGGGGATGCCCTGCCTCCGTGCCGAGTGGCGCGGGGGCCTCGCCTTCCCCTTCACCCGCCGCCCCCCGGCACTCCTCCCCCGCCCCAAGGAGGCCACAGCCCGCCCGGCGGCGCCGTGCCAGAGCTGCCCGCACCGCCCCGGGGCCGGGCGGGAGCGCAGCGCCGTGCCGGGGCCCCGGGCCGGCAGCCCCATGCACCCGCCCGGCGCCCCGCTCGCCATGGCCGAGGGCGCCTTCTCGCTGTCCGCGCAGGCGGCGCGGAGCCCCGGGGGAAACCCGTCGAGGCTGCACAGCATCGAGGCCATCCTGGGGTTCACCAAGGAGGACGGGATGCTGGGCCCCTTCCCGCCCGACGGCAGCGCCAAGGAGGCGGACCGGCGCGGTGCCCGGCACTGCCTCCCCAAGATGCCCGGGGAGCCGCCGCCGGCCGAGCCCCAGGCCCGCGCCGAGCGCTTCCAAGGTGAGCGCGGCGGGCGGGAGGCGCCGGGGGGCGGGCGGGCGAGCGAAGGGGCTCGCCCTCGGGCGGGCCCGTCGGGGAGGTCGCCGTCCCGGTGACACGCCGCTCTTCCCCCGCCAGAGCCGTACTGCCCCGGCAGCGCCAGCCCCGAGCTGCCCGCCGGCAGCGGCGGCGAGGGGAAGCCGTCGGACGAGGAGCAGCCCAAGAAGAAGCACCGGCGGAACCGCACCACCTTCACCACGTACCAGCTCCACGAGCTGGAGCGCGCCTTCGAGAAGTCCCACTACCCCGACGTGTACAGCCGCGAGGAGCTCGCCATGAAGGTCAACCTCCCCGAGGTCCGCGTCCAGGTAACGCCCGCACTGGCAGCCCCCGGCCCCGGGAGCCCCTCACGGCCTGCCCCGGCACAGCCGCGCGTTCCTGGAGCCGGCAGCTCCCCGGCCCGGCGTGGAGCAGCACTCCCGGCGGCCGGAGCAGCACCGGCCCTGGAGCCCAGCCCGGCACCGACCGGTGCGTGCGGAGCGGCCCCACGGGGCTGCAGCGCGGGGCCGTTCTCCGTTCAGCAGCCGCGGCCGCTGCCCTTTGGCCGGCGTGACCCGGCCCGGGGCAGCCGAAACGGTTGTGACCCAGGGCGGCGGCTTGCGGGCAGCTGAGGCGGGCGGGCAGGGCAGGAGGGCGGCCAGGCAGGCACAGTCGGGCGGGCAGGGGAGGCAGGACGGGCCGGCCGCGCTGCCGGCTCACGCTGCTCCGCTCTCCCCCTGCCCCGCGGCTGCCGCTCCGTGTGTTCCACTTCGTGCGCGCCGCTGCACCTGGGGCAGAGCCCCTGCCCTCCGCGGGGCCGCCGGTCCCCCCGGTGCCGTCCCGGCTAACGCCGCTGTGCCCGCAGGTGTGGTTTCAGAACAGACGGGCCAAGTGGAGGCGGCAGGAGAAGCTGGAAGTGACCTCCATGAAGCTGCAGGACTCGCCCATCCTCTCCTTCAACCGCTCGCCACAGGCAACACCCATGGGTCCTCTCAGCAGCAACCTGCCCCTGGAGACGTGGCTCAGCCCACCAGTGCCCAGCAGCACGGCCCTGCAGAGCCTGCCCGGCTTCGTGTCCCCGCCGCAGAGCCTGCCCGGCACCTACACCCCACCGCCCTTCCTGAACTCTCCCGCAGTGACCCACGCGCTGCAGCCGCTGGGGGCTATGGGGCCACCGCCGCCATACCAGTGTGGAGCCACCTTTGTGGACAAGTTCCCCTTGGACGAGGCAGACCCCCGCAACACCAGCATTGCTGCCCTGCGGCTGAAGGCCAAGGAGCACATCCAGTCCATCGGCAAACCCTGGCAGACAATCTGAACTTCCTCTTCGGCCCCCGGGAGAAACCCGCAGGGAAGGCTGCTCCTGGGGCGCCCAAGGGACACCCTCGCCCTGCTCTCGCTCTGTGGACAGCCAGGTGAAAGAGGGCTGTCCCTCGCACCAGCCTTTCCCCCACGCCTTGACTTGCTTTGTATTTTGTGGTCCTTTTAATTCCCTTTTCCACGTGCCCTGCAGAGTTAGGGCCCTGATCGTAGCTTAGAAGAGAAAACAATCTTTGCTCTCCCTCCTTGGCTGGACACTTTAGTTGCAATAAAAGCTACAGTAGGGTGAGGAGCTGTGTAAGGTGCCTGGAAAACCGAGGCCTGCGTTGCCTGGGGAGGGTTTTCTGCTTTTGCTGCACCCTCACATGGCGCATCCTGCATGAGGGCTGTGTGTGGGGCTGTGCACCCAAACGGGCTGCTCGGGCCAGGTCTGCGCTGCCGGGCACCGCGGAGGGTTGGGCCAGGCCTGGCTGCGGGACATGGGCAGTAGCTGCCGGGCACTGGGAGCATAGAGCTGTCAGCAGGGCCCACGGGGGCGCATCCTGCCCAGTGCAGCCCCCGGGGGCCAGAACGGTGCTGAGCCGAGCTGGCTCCCCTGCGCGCGCGGTGCCCATCGCCAGGCTGCTGAAACCAAAACTGCGGCATCTTTCTTTTCCATTATCTCCGTTACTGCCTGTAATGGGGCTGAGAAGCTGTAATGAAACACCCCTTCTCCTCCGCTGGGCACAGGGTGCTCTACACACTCTGGAGGTTGTGGCAATTAACGTTTCTCATTAGGGAAGAGAGAAGGATGCACAAGTGCCCTCATTGTGTCCTGGGGATGATTCAATGCAGACTGGGAGACCTCTCCTTTCACCATTTCCCACTCGTTGTGGCCAGACAAAGGCTGGCGTCTAATTATATTTTCACAATCTGTGCGTATCTTTTAAGAGTCCTGTCAGAAACAAGTATGTCAGCTTTGTTCAGCTTCACTTCAGAGAGCTTTTTAACCTTAGACAGCAGTTTCTAAACATCCCTTCACAGCCTTCTCCTCAGCAGCTCCCACCTATTGTCTGGAGAGCTGCTTTTACAGATAATAACAGGAATCCCTCTATTTTGAAATGCCTTTTCCTCTCTCCCCAGCGTCCCTGCAGGTCCAACCTGCCTCTGGAGCAGAGCTCACCCTGGGCCCGGGCTTCTCTTCCCTGAGCAGCTCTGCTCCGGGGGGTGCAGGGAGCCCCAGCGAGTGCTCCCCAGTGAACTGAGGGGGGATGTAGCTCTGCTTGGGCCATGGTGCATGGCCGCTGTTTGTACGGCCATGGTGGTGCCCAGCCTTCCCAGCACACTGCTGTTTGCTTCCCTGGCAAAGAAGGTGCCCTGCACTTAGGGAAAGAAAGCGCTGCTGCCCTCAGAACCAGGGAGATACTTTGCTAGCTCTGTGAGGAGGCCTCAGTAAACTCGGGGAAACAGGAGAAGAGCAAAAACTGTTTCTTTGGGCTCAGGTCTCACTCCAGCGGTCCTTTCCCAGGTGAGCTTTGTTGGCATCCCCAAGGGGGCTGCAAAGGAAGGATGCCTCTTGGTGTGCTCGAGAAGCGCCTGCACACCCCGGGCTGCGTCAGTAGCGACGCACACTAAGGAATGATGGCGCAGGCTCCGCGCGCTCTTCCTCCTCCTCGCCATGGGAACAATCCCTCTTGTCATTACTCGGCTGTGGTCCAGCTGTGGCTCTGATGCCCAAAACCCTCCTGCGTGCGAGCACGTTCAACTGGCGCCCGATTCCTGCCTGTGCTTATTGCTCTTGATGAGCAAGCAACCCCCCGAGATGTCAGCGATGTTCTTCCCCATTCTGCCAGCCCTGCCCTCCCTCCCTGCTGCCCCCGGTTCTTCTGAGCCTGTAAAGACATTGGACTGCCCCCCCCCAACTTTCTGATCAGTGCTGTCATCGGCACTGGTGCTTGCTTGAGGTGCTTGGGGACTAACACTAGAGAAAAGTATGACAGGATAGCAGAAAACAAACCAGATCCTCACTTCCATTACGGTCCTGGGAGTAAGGAGTGAAGGAGAACCTCAAGCTGTGGCGATTGTTCTTTTACTGACATATGAAGTGGGTCTTTTTTTATACATTGCACATGTGGACCCTGTAATGCATAAACTGTGCTGTCACGTCCTTCCAGGAAAGCCATGAGCTTATTGCTAAAAAGAAAGAGTTCGACAGCCAAGCAGCAGCGGGCACAGGCAGGTAAATATTGCCCAAAGAACGGCAGGGACAGAGGCACACAGAAAATCAGGGCTCCCTTGGGCCCTGCCTGGTTGTCTGTGCTCCTACACTTCCCTCAAACTGTCCCATTCCATTTTAAAAGCTCATTTGTTCATTTTGTTGTAAATATCTTCTCCTTAATTGGGTGCTGAGTCTAATAATCCTGCCTCCGGTTGTTAACTGTACAATAGCAGTCAGAGTTAATGACCCATTAGTGATTAATTCCTTAAACAGCATCTAATTGCTCACTGTAAAACCTTTTCTTAAAAGTGGATTAAATCATCTAGATCCTTAACCACTTCTTTACTCCAACTTTGCTAAGGCTATTAGCATGGCCTGTTCCGAGTGATCTAGTTCTTCTTTTGCTTAAACTGTATTAGCAAGGAAGTATTTTTAGTGTCTGTATTTGTATTCTTTGCAACATCTGAATAAGGAATAACAGCACGGATCAAAGAAATAGTGGGAATGCTAAGAAATGTACTCCTTTGCAAGGAGGCAGTTGCAGACAGTGAACGTTGTTACCTTTGGGGAGAGGTGAACTTGTAGGACAGCGTTTGTCAGTGGTCACAGTGACTCGTGGCAGTGCGTAGGGTCTGGGGAGCGAAGCTGTGAGTACTTGTGAGAGCTTTCCCAAGAGCAGCTTTTTCCATTGGGAACAGTACAGATGGGCACGCATTCCTTTATGCTATACATGAAATCGTCCGGTTTGCATCTGCTGCAAAGCTCTGGAAAAGTAGAATCTGGCCATCTCTGCAGCTGCTTCACCTGTAGCAATGCCTCCACTGGCAAAGGAGGTTAATCCCGGGTGAGTTCTCATTAAGATGTGAAATGCAGACAGGTAGACAGACCTCTGTTCGTGAGAAGTCTTTCCATTAGGCCTGGCTGCCTCTGCCCAGCTCAGAAATCCCAGGCTCAGCACACACAGGTGTAAAGCTTTGCACAGGTCAGTGCTATGAGGGACTGAAGACAGCATAAAGAGCTTTGAAGATCTCTGAATACATAATTATCAGGAAAATGCCATCATGACACTCTTGTCTCGAGGGCACCATTTCTCACAGAAAGTGCATTCTGATCTCTCTGCCTTCCCACCGCTGTTCAAACTCCTGTCAGAACTCAAGCAGACTTCCAAGGACACCTGACCTATTTAAGCCACGGAGAGGTCTGGCGCGGAGTCCAGCTCAGCTGCTTTCCAGCAGCGCAGGGCTGGCTCTGGCCAGGGCCAGCCCTCCATCCCTGCCGGATGGGCTCGGGAGACCCTTCCAGTTTATTTGGTGCCGTCTGCGGGACGGGGGAGCCCCATTTTACGTGCAGGGAAACCGAGGCAGGGCTTTCTCCTCTCCGGGTGTCCTGGCAAAGCACTTGGGTAGAGCTGCCCAGGGTGGCCCTGCACGGAGCCAGGAGCCCCCCGCCCGACGGCGGGACCGGGGCGCACGGGAGCTCCCTCCTTTGCCGGGACCGGCCGGGCACGGACGGTGGCGCGAGGGCGCCGCCTGGTGGACGCGGACGGAACTTCACTCAGGCGGCCGCGGCGCTGGCTCCGGGGTGGCTGGCGGGGGGGGGGTCATTGCCCGGGACCGGCGGGGCCGGGACCGTTGGCACGAGCTGTGTGCAAGGACGCGCATTTGCCCCATTTCACCCCTTCACTTCCGGCCGGCCGGGGTGGACGTCACTGTGCGACCCAGCACCGGTTACCCAGAACCGTGCCCAGGCGGCTTGCGGATGGCTCCACCGTCACCCTCACAGTGACAAAGTGTTTCCTGATGTTCAGAGGTGCCCACTGCCCATGGTTCTGTCACTGATACCACTGGAAAGAGCCCGGCCCTCTCTCCTTTACACCCTCCCTGGTAAGACCCCCCGAGCCTTCTCTTCTCCAGGCTGAACAGCTCATAGAACCGTAGAATCACGGAATACACGCTGGAATAGACCTTAAAGGCCACCTGGTCCAACAAAAGCCATAGCCTTTCCTTCTAGGAGAGACGGAAAAGCCCCTGAATCACCTTTTGTGGCCCTTTACTGCCCTCTCCTTGGTCTGTCTGCCCAGCAGATCTCCTTGCTGCCTGCATGTGGGGGAGCACCACGCACTCCATGCCTTGGGAAGGCTGTGTCAGCTCCCCTGGAGTGACAAAAAACTACAGAGCAGGGAGCAATTCAGTTGGAGAAGAGCTTCGGTGGGAATGAATCATTGTGTTGTTCTTTGTTACTGGCTGTGGCACAGCCAATTTCCATTTTATTAACCCAAATGAGAGTATAAAGTCAGCCTTTTCGATAGTACTATTTATTGCGAATGTGGAAATGTCATCTAGTTTTGAGCTAAGAGATGAACTGATTAGATAAGTCATATCATTAATTGGAAGACCCTTCCATGACAATTACATGTATCAAAGCCATTCAAGTGAGAAAATGCAGCCTTGAAGTAAAGAGTTTAGTCACTGCTTGAACATACAAGAATATGTGTATTTAGGTATTTTACACCAAGGAAATCTTGTTTACAGAAAAGAGACCTTGTTAATTATCTGATGCAATCAAGTGCTTGCGAAATATAGTCTCTTATTGAAAGTATTCCACTTCTTGATGATTTAGAGACCTTCTTTCAGCTTGGAGTGCTCTCTTTCGTATTCACAACTTGAAGCAGATAGTCCACCATCTGATCAAAAGAGAAGAATATTATTTATAGAACAGTCCTGGAGAAAGTCATTCGCTAAGTTAATAAGCCCGGTACAGATCTGCTCTGTGTGTTCACATAACAAGTGCATTCCCAATAAGCTGTCCAAACTAGCCCTTGCTCTGGGTATTCACACAGCAAACACATTCCTAATAATCTTTCCAAAATAGACCTCATTTGTCTCAGTTAGTGTAATAACCAACTGCCAAAGCATGAGGGAAGTCATCCTCCCAAAGACTTCTGTCTGCTGTCTCATTAGTGTTGAAAAGCCAAGCCACAGAAACAATGTAAAGCTTATTTTCCAAGTTACTTTTACTTAGTGTAAACCGAGTGTCTAACTTGCAGCAGAGTTCCTTTCTGCTCTTTACCTACTTTAACTGTCATTTATTCACAGGCAAGAGCTTAATTTGCCTGCTAATAACTGAAAACAGAAGAAATTAACTGAGGTGCACCACTGTAGGCCTAGTTCTCACTCCCAATCAGTGGATGGGAACACAGAGCTGCACACACAGAGCCAGGGACTCATGTTCAGCACCTCTGCAAGTGTATGCTCAGCCTACAAGGAGCACCCACAGCCCCTTGCTGGTGATCCGGTCCTGGGATGGCTGCTCCATCGTTCATGATGGGGTTCATGATTTCCTGGGTTTTGGTCACATTTCAATGCCTCAGTCCAAAAGGGCATTTCACAGTGAGCAGTAGCCCACTGGAAATACAGTGCCTCACTCCTCCTAGAGCAGTTCCTATTTTGAACTCAAACACAATATGCCTGGAGAAGTATTTAATGCCAGGTACAAGGTTCCTACGTGCACCGCACCATCATCACCAGCTTGCTCCCCTCAGGCAAACAGCTACATCCACCATTCCTGTACACGGGGCCCCTCTGGGAGCTGTGGGACAGCAGCACCTTAAACAAGGGGGATGTCTAACCTGTGCAACACTGAACCCCTCACACCCAGGGAAATCTAGAGTCAAGAGCTACAGAATCCAAATGCTCTTGTATCCCTGTGCGCGCATATGACTGGCATTCACAGGTACCCGCAAATACGGCCTCCTCTATTAAAAATAATAATGATCATTATTTAAATATCTATCATAGCCCTGAAGAAAAGTAAAGCACATTCCTTCCCATCTTCTGATCTTCACCGGGAAGACAGATTTCAAGCAGACACAAAGCTTAACCATCAGGTGCTAGGGTTTTACTTTCTGAAGGCAAAGGAAAACCAATAAAACACATCTATCTGGGCTGCAGAGAATCAGGTATCGGCGTCCAGCAGTAGGAAAGCGCAGGGCACCTACTACTCATACTACTCTCATGGTTATGTTTTACTTCAAGATAGAGACAAAGTAACTGCTGAATGCTGGATATCCAAGGCTCAGTCCTGCAAGTCCTGCTCACACAGAAGACACGGTTTTCAGCAGAAATCTAATCACTGGAGAAATCTGGATATTTAAGGCAATAATCTCATTATTCCATGTACATGTTCAAGGTCTGAGCACAAAAATGTGGCTATTG